TCTTTCTTTCTTTCTTTCTTTCTTTCTTTCTTTCTTTCTTTCTTTCTCCACTGAGATATAATTGACTTCTTATATTAGTTTTAGGTACAACATGATGATTTGATGTATGTCTATGTTGTGAAACGATTACCACAATAGGTCTATTTAAAATCCATCGCTATGCATAGTTACAATTTTTATTTTCTCATGATGACAACCTTTAAGATCTATTCTCTTAGGAACTTGCAATTCACATGTGTTTTTACAATGTCAGCTGGAGCTGTTTAATCTGCTCCCAATCTTCCCATTTCTGAGTTATTTAGATTTTTGTTGATTGGAATTGATCTATAGGCTGGGAACCCTGGACTGGAGTTCACTTCAGACTTCAAATGGGATTTGAACTCAAATGTGCAACTGAATTAGTCAATCCCATCAGCAAGAAAATAAGAAAAGGTACATCCATCTTCTTCTTCCTAGCTTCCGGTCTCCCCCTTCAGGGCTCCCTATTGTCACAACTTAACAAGGGGCTGGCTGGTAGAGGAGAGCACCGCAGGGCAGAACAACATGAAGAGAGGTATAGCTGTGAGACAATTGCCTATTAATCGGCACAGTCATAGTTAACCAAAGTAAATGGACCTTGTATATTGCAAAGTCTGTAGCTGGTTCATTTTCAGTCCAATGCTTTTGATCCATGTGAGGTTTGGGATGGGGGGGACCTTAAACAATCTCTGATTTTGTCATTCACCAGGTAGGGTTTTGTTTCTAAAGAAGAATACATGATCTCCCAAATGGGTTTTAAAGAACCTATTTAAATATAAAAGAGGAAGCCAGGGACAAGGAAAGGATTCTGGAAAGCAAAATTAAATCCTGGGGAGATCAGATTTCTACTGTTTGATGGCATTAGTGGTGTGAATTCCAGCATGAGTGCTATTCCAGAATGAAAATGGCTCCTATGCCAGAGAAGTGCCTGGTGCAAAGTTTCTCTAATTAGAGTGCCGGGGTTCAGTGAAGTGTGCTAGTTTGATAAAAGAATTACTAGCACTATTCTGCTGACTCCTGGTCACAACGTTCAAGGTGGCCTGGGCTAGTAAACAGGAGTGGAAAACATATCCTCACACATTTGCTTCAAGCCCGAAAAACAAGCAATTTAAGAGAAGACATCTGGACACAAAATTTGAACAGTGCTCAGAGCCCATCAAAACATGGATTTGATGGCTTGGCGTCTGGCTGCTAAGCAACGCACTTCTTACATTCAAAACAGAGTTGTAAAAGTTGGATCCCGGTGCCAACTCAGGGCATTTCTCATTGAAAAAAAAAAAAAAGAGTCACGAACATTTTTTTTTTTTTTAGGTTGTAAGATATCTGATTTCTATGGTAGAAGAGCTCAGATTATTTCTGCTGTAGTCCTCTCATTTTCCACATTCTGAAGTATTAGATGGAGCTTAATTTTACATTTTGAAGTACTCTTAATGAATGCCACAGAAGGGTCTTGTAATATTTTTCTCAGTCCCCGAATTAACAGCATTCTTTTAAATTAAGTATGTATATTCACCATACACATGCTTTTTCAAATATTTGGTTCCCCTCAAGTTAGATGTATATACCAGAGGGCCAACCGCAAGCTAAATGAGGTTTGCTTCACCAAAAGTATGCTTCTGCTTGGCAGGGAGGCCAGGGAGGGCCCATGTATAATATTTTCCATGTGCAGACTAGTTTGGAAAATGTATGTTATTATAATACTTATTAACATTAAGATAGACCGCTAATTTCTCTCTCCCTTGCTTCTATCTACTTAAAATGTTTCTGATACATTTCAGAGCTTGGAACATAGGAATTGCTAACTTCCCAAATAAAACACAAATCCAGAAAAAGCAACAGACAGATCATTCAGAACCATGGACTAGTTTTCTTTCTTTCTTTCTTTCTTTCTTTCTCTCTCTCTCTCTCTCTCTCTCTTTCTTTCTTTCTTTCTGGGAAGCAGTTAGGAAAATGATGGGGCAGGAGGTAGGGAGGAATGGGGTTTTCTATCAATTTTTATTTGTCTTAAAAGTTGTGGAATGTGCCTTGGTATTAAAAAATGAAACTGAACTATTAAAATGACCTAGTCTTTGGAGTAGTGTGCCTGCAAAAGTATTTTTTTCCTGTCTTTAGAGAACTTCCTTCCACAAACTCTCTGAAGCCTTCTTCTTGTGATGCAGCAAAGCAAGAAATCCAGACGTGGAAAATTGCTTACCAAAAAAAAAAAAAAAAAAGGCTTAGAAACCAAATAAGAAAGGGCTAGTTTTACAGGAGAACTCCACTTCATATGGAAGGCTACAAAACAAATGTTCTTCCGTGTCAAAGATTTATGTAGCGCAGAGAAATTAAAGGATGGTTTTTACAACACTTAATGAGAAGGCAGATTTTCCATCGTGCGTAGCATTGTGGGCTGCCAGGTTCTTCCTAAGCTGTGGCCCTCTGGCACCCTTGTTTACATGTGGTTTACATTGGTGTCCACCCCATGGACCACAAGTGTTTCTCCATTCCAAATTTATCGACACTTTTCCTTCATACCAGCGGTGCCTCAGTAAAAACAGAGAATTAGGCAGTGGAGCTGTGTGATTCCAAAACTTCCTGCAAGCCATCATCAGTGCATTTCCTGTCCTAGCTGGGATGCCCCATTTCATACCAAGCTTTTGCATGATATTTCAAAATTTCGAATCCTTCAGCTACCCTGAGTAGATCCCAAACACTTAAAGAATGAGCTTTAAAAGGCAGTTTATATCAGGCATCCGAGAGGCATGACGTCAAGCTGCCAATCAGAGGAGAGTCATGAAGTAGACCCAGAGCTCTGAGCAAGCCAGGCTCCAAAACAGCCCAGACTCTGTGTCTGAAAGTCACACTTAACATGGTGATGGAATGATTGAGCAAATAGATACTGTGTGCTTCCCAGAACTTCTGGACCTATAAAGATCACTTTCTTTCCCTTTCTGTAACCATCTTCCTTAAAAGAGGGAAATCCTGGGCAAACATTCCTTCCTCATGTCTTGACTCTTTGCCCAGATCTTTCCACACTGGGGCTTCAGAAACATATTCATCCAAATCCCAAACATGCAAGTTGTATGTGACCCTTCCCTGGAAGCTCTGGAGGGACAGGCAGTGCTTGTGGGGCATTGGAGGACTCGGGAGAGGAGTTGCTAAGGAACCTGACAGCATTAGGTTTCTGTATTTTCCCTGCCTCCCTGCCCTCCTGAATTCCTTCCTTCCCGGAAACTGAAATTCCACCAGGTGGACATGTAAGAACTCCTTTAAAGAGCCAGATTGGGAGGGAAGGAAGAGTCTTTCCTCTGGAGAGTCTTTCCTCAACTTATGTCACAGAAGTGGTTCAATGAAGAAGGTATGGACCTTTACAAAGAAAGGGTGTGGATAAAAGTGACTACAATGGATGAACCAATAAAACCCTTCCCATTAGGTTGGACAAAGTTTATACTGAGGTACACTGGGAAGGAGAGGCTCTCCCCCACCAAAACAAGAAAAAAGGGAAGGTGGGGAGAGAGAGAGACAGAGAGAGAGAGAGAGAGAGAGAAAGAGAGAGAGAGATATCTTGCATTCCAAAGACAAACTTGCTTTCCCCCTCTTTCCATTTAGCTATGCACATTTCCCCCGGAATTCCAGTCCCTTCTTATCCTACTTATGCATCTAGGACACCATGTCTCCGACTAGACACATTCTGCCTGACTGATGGATGGTGGATGCACGTTTACTCATTTAAAGCAGGGACTGCGGCTGGGGAGCCCCTGACTGCAGGAGCAAAGCTGAAGGCTGACTGGGTTTCCTGCGAGGAGCAGTTAAGCACATCTGCAGTGGCAGGAGGTTTGTGGGAGAAGTAAGGCCCTTGTCAAGGCTGGACCTCCACCTACCTCTTTCCACCAGCGCTTGGACCACCCGCACAGGGTGAACTTACCTCTCGAGTAAATAGGATGGCCGCGTCGTAATGCTCCTCGTGGTCATCCCCCAGCTGGTTGTGCTGGTGCTGCCACTTGCAAAAGTTCTTGAGCGTGGTGGCCGCGTTCTTGCTCACCTCCAGGCTCTTGTCCTTGTCACCCAGCACTACCACCTTCACCACGGCCAGGCGGATGTGGTTCTCGATGCTGGCATGGCTGTACAGCCTGTTGGCGATGGAGGCCAGGGTCAGCAGGTAATGCTGCAGGCCCCGGCCATACATGCGCGCCATGGACGCGTCAGCCACCAGGAGAAGCTCCACCTGGCGCGCCCGGGAGATGGAGCGGCGCCGCCGCCGCCACCACGTTTGGGGTTCCTGGTCCCCATCGGAAGAGGGAGCCGACTGGTCCAGGAACTGCGGGGCCAGCGCCCAGCGTCGCTCTGGGCTGCTGTGCGCCGGGGGGCGCTCGCGAGGCCCTGGCGGGGACCCGGGAGTCTCGCAGCTGGTGCGCGGCGGCAAGGCCTCAAAGCTGAAGCCCTCGCGGGTATAGACGTGCAGGATCCGCGAGGACCCAACCCCGTACACTCGCCCGGCCTCGGCCTCGGCCCAGGGCCCGCGCAACAGCGGCTTCAGGGTGTAGCGCGCGTGCTTAACGGCGAAGAAGCCGTCGAGACCACCACAGAGGTCAAAGACCGCCAGGGAGCGGGGGCTGCCGTCCACCGTACCGCGGTAGAAGCAGTGGTCCCGGTGGTGCCGGGTCGCACTCAGCCCGCTTCCTGCAGGCACAAAGCCAGCGGCGCCCAGGGAACCATCCCGCTCCAGGTCCAGGAGGAACCTCCGGCCGCCGGCGTAGACGAGGTAGCCCACCTTGCCGCCGCCGGAGTAGATCTGGTCGATGTTCTGCACCAGCCCGCTGCTCCTGCGCTGCGGCGCCAGGGGGTGCGGGTGGCCCGGAGGCTCGGCCGGCTCCTGCGCCTCCTCCCCCTGCCGCCGGCGGGGCTGGGCGGCCGCTGCAGCAGCCCAAGGCTGCCCGGCTTTATCCTGGGCAGGTGCCGCGGCGGGGCCGACCGCGACCAAGGGCAGGCGGAGCGCGCACAGCAGCAGGGACGCCCACCCGAGCAGCATAGTGCGCTGCCCGCAGGGAGGGGCTGCGCGACGGGGACTTTATGGGTATTTGTTATTCGCTATGGAAGTTACCGGGGCGGGAGATGGGGGCACACACACACTTGCTTGCAAGGTTGAGTCAAGTGTCGGAAGGAGGGGGACCGGCGTCAGCGCCAGCCTGTCCCAGCTTCAGTGCCAGCGTGCGAACTTTGCTTTGTTGGTTTGGAAAATGTTTGGATTCGTGCTCCGGAAAAAGGGGGAAAAATTAAGAAGAGAAAAGCCGGGTTGTGGAGGTTCCGCAAATACGAGGAAAGGGGGAAAAAACAACAAACAAACAAACAAACAAACAAAAAAACCCCCAAACTAACCCAAATTCAACCCCCAAGTGCAGCCACTATCGCCGCACGAAGAAAAGTGAGGATGGTGCCGCGCACCAGGCGGGCAACTGGTGCGCGCTGCCTCCCGCCCCCCTGCTGCTCTGTACCCGCCGGCGGCGGGGGTTCCAAGCTCCGGAGCCCACGTCCTTTATTTTGTGGGTTTCCTTGACTCTACTAGAACCAGGAGGAAAGGAAGAAAGAGAGAAAAAAAGCCATAAAAATTAGAACAAAAAATGCAAGGGGCGGCCTGCGGGGAGCCCGTGAAGCGGCGCGTCCGTGTCCCTTCGGATGCAGTGTCTTCCCGCCGGCCGTCATCCCCAGTCGGCCGCTGCGAGCGCGGAGAGCAGCGCGAGCGCTGTGAAGATGCGAGGAGGTGGAACAATGAATTTATAGCGGCATGCCATCCTGCAATGGCAATTTCAACAATTCGTCACTGCAAGCTGCCTCTTAAAGGGAGAGCTTCCCCCACCCCTCCCACCCTTCCCCGTCCGCGCCTAATCAGATGGGGGAGGGCGGGAGAGAGGGTGGGGGGTGATCGAGGAAAGGGAGACCGAGAAGAACCCAGCGAGGTGGAAGGAGGGACGAGGGAGGGAGCAAGGGCGAGGGGTAAAAAGTATTGGGGTAAGAAAAACAGATTTCCTTGGCCTCATTTAAAGCCACAGTGGCTCCGGGTTTGTCTGATATTTCACAACCAATCGGGGTTGGCTAACCCCGGCTTACCTCATCTCCTGAAAGGGGTGTTTTGCTGTGTTTTTAAAGTTACTGAGACATTTCAAGTCTCTCCCTGCCTCCCTCTCTCCTGCCCCCCCCCCCCCCCGGTAGGAAGTTCCTGCCGCAAGTTTTTCCTCTTCGCACGCCCGTGCGCTCCGGTCTCGAAGACCTTGCAAGTCGGTCCAGCAGCCTAGGACTTTGGTCTTCCCGTGCGCCCCCTCGCCCCGCGCTCTTCTCGCCTCCTCCCAGCCGCGCGGGTACTGGGTTTCCTCCCTCCTGATTCCCCGGCCTCTCCGCGCTGGGACGCTGGTCGGGTTCGGGCTCCGGGTGACTAACTTCTCCCAGCCACCAGCAGAGGGGCCGGGCAGCCGGGGAGCCTCAGGCGGTTCCTGGCGCGTCGAAGCGCCCTAAGCGCTGCTGTGCTCCGCGCAGGGCTGCCCGCCGCCTGGGAACTCTGCTCCTTTGTGTGCGAGCCCAGGGCTCTCCCTTTCTCCGCGCGCCTTTCACCGATGCCCGCAATCTGCTCCTTAATTCCGGGTGATTGGAACTTCCTCCGCTTTGCTTTAAGAAGGCAGGGCGAGAAAGTGTTAACCGTGGCAGAAATTTTTTTTTTCTTTTCTTCCTAAGATTAAAAAAAAATTGTGCCCACACTTTCTCTTCTTTCTCCTGCTTAAATAAAAATTAGATACCCTGATTTGTATTTATCTGCCCGAAAACAAGCACTCATCACTCCAGGGCTTGACTTACTGTCATTCTCAGAAAATCCTGTTGGGGGAAGAAAAAAAAAAATAGTGGGACACAACGGAGTGCAGGTAGGTGCGTATTAGTAGGTGAGTGGCATTTTCACAGGAACTAGGTTTCCTCTTCCTTTCCTCTAATTATTAACTCTAACAGAGAAGGAAAATCCCAGGACTTTCTAACCACTTATCTGGTAGTGGTTAGAAGATCTACTGAAAGGACAGGAGCCCCTCCCACCCCCCTTCATTCTTCAGGGCTCATTAGTGAATACATCAGTAAAATTGAATCTGGAAGGATTAACACAATTCTTTCATACCTTTAATTAACAGAGATGCGGAGGAGAGCAAGGGTGGTTCTGTGGACCCCAAGCTGCAGGTGGTTTCCCCAGATCCTTGCTAAGACACCTGGTCACTTTTTTCAGGGAGCGCATCAGAGGATCCTGGGGTGATTCGAGGTTCTAAGAGTAGCAGTGAGCTCCAGGTGGGAATCTCAGAATTGTCCAGCAATCAAGCCCTTTGGCCAGTGCCTAGAGAACGCTCTGGAGTCAGTCACCCCGGAGGCAGAGAGAAGCATATCCTGAGAATTAGTTCACTTGAATAAATGAAATGATTGTTGAGACCTGGGACCACCCAACCACCCCTAGTAGATTCTGAACTACCTCCAGACTTGGCAGGGAATTGCTGTTGATTAGGCCATCATCCCCTTCTCATTCCACAATCCCTCAGTCTCCAAGTGGTCCATTGCCCAAAGCCAGTTCTATTAGTTGAATGTTGTGAGGAACCAGAGATGTTCAGGATCAGGATTTAAAGAAAGAGAACCTTGATTCCAGTAGTTGTCTCTGTCCTTCCAATAACCTTAAAGGCTTGTGGTCCTTATATCTATGGGGAGCAAACTTCATCATTATTATTATTAGTTCTACCAAATTCACTGAAAAGTAGTTCAATATTTGGCACTAAACACCTTCTCTAAAGCAACTGTGATTTAGTAATTTTAACCATGTCATCGTTGTTAATCTCAAAGGATCATTCTGAGGAGTAAGCATTTTGGATGACAGTGGTTTAAACTTATTAATTATGATTACTTGTATTCACAGAGAGGAGGTGTCTTCTTTAACACTTACTGGAATTCCAGGTGAATTTTCTTCTTAGTGAAAGTTTTTCTCCTTTTTCCAAAACACTATATTTCTCAGTGAATCATGCCTCTGAATTTTATGCTTGTAAATTTAATTATATAATGTCATTTGTACTCAGATTATTTGAATATTTAGAAATATGTTGGAGAACAAGGCAGAAGCAGATAAAGCTCCAACCTTGAGTATCAGGTACTAAGTATTAGAACCACATACTCACAAAGAAAGGCACTCATACAGCATATAAATATAATGAGTAAATTCTTACAGATCCAGAAAATTTCTAGTTGGGTATAATTTTTATTTTTCTGTGAAAGTAACGTGGATACTTTAGGAAGTTCATTTGGTAATACTTTTCAAATATTACCCTAGTGGATTCGGATAAAGTGCTACGTTCCAGAACAATGAATGTCTTGTCAGTCCAAGGAAGTAATTTGCGCTGCATGAGAGTCGTCCAAGTTTTTATTTTTTCTTTTTACAGTAGAAAGCTGAAATATATTAGCAATCATGTTTAGGTGATTGCCACTTCAGTCTTTCATTATTCCAAAAAGCAGTTTTATTTGAGCTTTTTTCCTGAGAACTTTCTCTTGCATTTATGGAATATATGGTCACACCTGATACATAATCTTACATTTCCCAAAAGGAAGTGAGACTTTCTACGCCAGACGGTTACAGTTGGAAGTTATCTCTCGGAGATCCTGTAAGGCAACTTCCTCCATCTACCAATGCGAAACTGAGAATAGAGACCAAAGTGACCGCCTGTGGATAAAAGGTCCACTAGTGGCCAGCTCTCCTGAATCCTAAAGTCTTTACTCCCTCCCTTGGTGTTCAAATTACCACACCTCTTAAAATCTATCCAGTTCAACAAATATTTGTTGAGGGCTGGCTGCCAACTGCTGTGTGAGGTTCTCTGGAGGCACATAGACATGAGTAAGCCGTGATTAACATTCAGAGCAGATCACAGTTCAGAGATGGAACCAATCATACCGAAGATACCCTGGAGTACAAGCTGGAAAATGCAAATGGGGAGGGAAGAGAGCAAGAGAAAACCTCCTCCTGGTGCTGCCAGCTATGTATTTCCAGGACAACTTTAGTCCACAGGATTTGTGTATCTTCCTAAGCAGTATTTTCTCAAATTTCCATTTGCTAAAGTGTCATTTCCTCCCCCTCCCCATCTATGATTTTACTGGGAAGGGTGAGGAAGTAAGACAATAAAACAGTCCCCCCTAGCTAAACACCTGCTCCTTACCTCCCATGGAGGAGAATCACAGCCTCTCAACTCGGTGCAGTAATTTTCCTTTCCTGCTTCAAGATCCCTACCACAGGCCTTGCTGAATTCTGAGCTTCCTTAGTATCCTATCTTTCTGCGGCCTGATGGTGGGTGCAGGGAGCACCTCTCCCTGACCCTTCCGGAATGCCTTACAGACTCTGGGCCAGCCCTTTCCTTAGGCACCACTCAGCTTTGCCAGTTCTGGTTCTCAGCAGACTTGCTTCAAAACTAGAGGTTATTTCAGTCACCTTGTGCAGTGCAATTACGCAGGGCTGGTCCTTTTGTGACGGGCTTATTTCTCTTAGCAGAATGTTCTCCACGTTTAGCCATGTTATCGCTTATAAAATAGTCAAACTCATAGAAATGGAGAGGAGAGGGGTGGCTGCCAAGGCCCAGGGAGAGGGGGAATCAGGAGTACTATTCAAAGAGTACAGAGTTTCAGTTCTGCCACATGGATAAGTTCCAGAGATCTGCTCTACACCACCATACTGTATCGTATACTTAAAAATGTATTGAGGGTACATTTTGTGTTAAATGTTCTTACCACAAAGCAAAACAAAACCAAAGAGTACACTTTGGGAATATGGAAAGGAGTGTATTTACTATGCTAGCTTTGATACGAATCCTAAATTTTAGACGATGAAACTCTACATGATGAGTCCTTCTTTCTTTTCCCAATCCTTTACCCCCTTCTCCAAATCCCCTTATATCCCACAATGGTCTTACATGCATCTGGACACGCCAATCCACATGCATAATCTTGCACACATTGGACACACAACACACAGCAGCATATGCATGTACGCACACACCATCACCCCTAACTCAGTTTCCCCTCTAGGCTGCACTGACCCGTGCACAGGAAGTCCTGAGAATAGAGTTGCAATAATAAGAGAGGGTTTCGCACCAATTTCTCTTCACCCTTTGGAAAGAAAACTTTCTTGAGACAGACATAGTAGAATTTTTTTTTTTTTTTTTAGTGAAACTTACTGGAATTCCTGATAAAACACAAAACTATTACCTGTGCTATCTGCCTAAGATGTATTACACAACATTCTAT